CAATTGGTTGGTAGTCTGGTTTATCTTACTACGACACGCCCTGATATAGCATATGCAGTTCATATTGTTAGTCAGTTTATGGCTGCTCCTCGCTCCACTCATTATGCAGCAGTACTTCGCATTATTCGCTATGTTAAGGGAACATTATTTCATGGACTCCATTTTTCTGCCAACTCCTCCCCTATGATTCGCGCTTACTCTGATGCTGATTGGGCCGGTGATCCTTCTGATCGAGATCTACCACCGGTTACTGTCTTTTCCTTGGTAATTCTCTCATCTCTTGGCGGAGTAAGAAACAAGCTATTCCATCTCGCTCTAGTACAGAAGCTGAGTATAGAGCTCTCGGGGATACCACATCGGAACTTCTTTCATTGCGATGGCTTCTTGAAGATATGGGCATTCCTCAACCTTCTTCTACTGATTTATATTGTGATAATCAAAGTGCTATGCAGATTGCTCATAATGATGTCTTTCATGAACGCACTAAACACATTGATGTTGATTGTCACTTTATTCGCCATCATGTTGCACAAGGAACTGTTCATTTGGTTTTCATTGGCTCTGCTGATCAACCAACAGATCTCTTTACCAAGGATCATTTTCCTGGATGCTTTCGTACTCTTCTTTCCAAATTCAAGTTGGTTTCATCACAACCACCTTGAGTTTGAGGGGGGATGTTAAGATGTGAACATAATTATATTTAGAATTATTGTAAATATTTTATACTTTAGAATATTCTCTTTATATACTTTAGAATATTCTCTTTATATACTTTAGAATATTCTCTTTGTAAACACCTATATATAGGTCATTGTACATACAATATAATTTAAGAAAGCAATAAACCTTTCTTCAAATATTTCTCATTCTTTTCAGTTTCTAACAAAGTAAAAGTATCGAAAGACTTTGACATTATTGTTCGGCAAAAAGAGAGGTTTGATATTTTCAAGTTTCAAAAAAGGATTGCAAGTAGCTTTGAATTAAAACTAGAGCCAGAGGATCATGAGAATGAAACCAAGATTGTAGGATTGATTTCACAAAGCTTGGGGAAATGCAGCTTCGTGCTAATTCTAGATGATGTGTGGGAGCCTTTCTTTCTAGAAGATGTTGGAATTCCTGATCTAGTTAGAAATAATGATTCCAAGTTAGTGCTCACGACACGGTTACAACATGTAGCTCATGTA